GCCCATCAGCTCCCGTAACACCTCTACAAACCTGTCTCATTTCCAAGATCTGCACTCTGACAGAAGCAACTTTTAATGACCTTTCAAAGTAAACTGAATGGAGCTTGTAACAGCAATGATTTTACCTCATGTGGTCATGTTTTCAGAGCCTCTGGCATATGGGAAAGGGCTTTGCTTAGTAAACTACATTCTAGGGAATACTGAGGGAGAAATTTAATTTGGCTTCAATTGTTAACACAACACACATATGAAAGTTCAAACTGAAAAAATAATTTATATTGCCCTTAGGGTAACTCTGTGTGTTTGTGTGTGTGTGTGTGTGTGTGTGTGTGTGTTGATGAAGCTTAAAATGTCTTTTTTTTTTACTTAAAATTTTTTATTAGTACATGTTTGCAGTGCATAATGTTCACATTCCTTGTGGGGAGTTGGTACGTGTACGTAAAACATCTTGATTCCCTTTTTCATCTCCTTTCTCTCTCCTCCAGCCTCTCTCCCTTCCCTCTCATTTTTCTTTTTATTTATTTATTTTCTATCTATCTATCTATCTATCTATCTATCTATCTATCTATTTATTTATTTATTTTGGTACCAGGGATTGAACTCGGATCCTTGCTCTTGCAAGGCAGGTGGCAGAACCACTGAGCTAAATCCCTGGCCCCTTCTTTTCTTTTTTAAATTTTATTTTTTTATTAGTACTATTTTCCATACACATCGATCACATTCATAATAGGGAGTTTGTACCTACACACAATGTATCTTAATTCTTCTTTTTTCTCATTCTTCTTCCCTCCGTTCGACCCTTCTTTCTCACCCCATTTACAAAAGCTTTGTTTCCAATGTTTTCTTTCCATTCTCTTTTCTTTCTTTTCCCTTCTTTCCTTCTTCCTCCCCTCCTTTGCCCCCCTTCTGCTGTGGCTTATGTTTAGATGTCCCTCCAAAGCTTCATGAAACTGAGTGGGGCTTCTTTGGAGGTGGCTGGATCCAGAGTGTGTGACATTGGAATTGATTCACAGTGCAGTGCTAGGCTCCAGGGCACTAGGATTAAGGATGTGAGTGCTGCCTGCCCTAAGTTGTGTGGATAAGGTCAAAGAGGCAAGAAGGTGCTGTTAAGACGCCTTGATGCTTTTGCTGTCTTCTGCAGCTATGAACTGTTGCCCCTCTGCCACCCTGCATTGGAGCCAGCCAAGGATGTACTGAAACCACTATAAACTATAAGCCAAATAATCTTTCCCCCTGAAACTTGGGGTGGTTCATATTTTGTTTCATCAAGAAGAGAAAAGTAACTAACACACCTTCCTATTTGTACATGTTCTTCCTACTTCACGATATCTGCCCTTCATTGTGCTCCTTGTTTACCCTTTGGGTTTCTCACACCAGAGAAACATTGTGATGCTTAAACTTGTGTCTGATTTATTTCACTTAAGGTTATGGTCTCGAGGTGCATTCATTTGCCTACAAATGATTCATATTTATCTTTCTTTATGGCAGATTAGTACTCCATTGTATATTAAAAACACGTTTTCTTTAACCATTCATCTGTTGGTAGGCATATTGCTGTTTCCAGAATTTAGCTATTATAAGTTGTGCTGCTATAAACATGCATGTGCATGTATCACTGTGGTATGATGGGAGGCTGGAAATGCCCTGTATATGGATAGCAGCCTTTCCTCATCAGAAAAATTAGTGTTAGCCAATAACTCTAAGTTTATCTGTATGAAAATCCTGACTTGATAAATAGAGGCTTTGCAAATAACTGGCTGTTCGGTCGTTGTAAGGACAAATTTTATTTATTGCCCTTTGCCGTGCACGGTCTCCTAATTAATTTGGCTCGATCCGCTAAAAGAACGTCCACCAGCCTTAAATAAGTACAAAAGGGAAAGTTTATTGAAGGATATGCGCATACAGAAAACAAAAGTAAGAATGGAGAGGACAGAGAAAGAGGAGAGTCCTCTAACAGCAAGAGGGACTCTATCCGGGAAATTACCCTTAGGCTCTCTGGCAACAACACCGGAATGTTGGAGGAATTAGGTTCATCACTCGCAACACAGCACGGGTCTCTTCAGCAATCCCTTCGGCTACAGGTCTCAATCCCGGGCGTAAGACAGCAGCAGCAGCCTGGGCTAGGTGGGCTGTTTTTATAGCTCTCTAGACAAAGGTAGTAAAACTACCTGAACTTTTGGCGCGAAAAAGGTGAATGTGCTTGCAGTCACGTCCCAACCAGGCCCTGGCCAGGGGTCCGGGAGGGGCGGAATGCATCACATTCCTTATCTTGATGTTAAGAACATCTGGTCTTTTTAACAAAGTCCTTCCTGTTTTTTCCCAGGAACTGGCCAGGTATCCAGGGAAAGAAGAGGTGAACTAGTGATTATGTGCCTTAGAGAGCCGAAAGCCTTAACCCAGGCCTTTCCAACTTAAAGTTTTAACTTTCCTTACAGTCGTACACAAGTCCCTTACTCTATTGGAGCTTCTGAGTGCTTCTGTGTACAATGGTGATAGGGGAATCGCTGCCTCACTGAGTATTTGTGAGGATGTAGAAGGCAGCATTTATGACAGTGCCTAGTCTGGCATTCAAAGTTCATCACAACCTGGGAATCAAGCCCTTGTATTTTCCTCTTAAGCAAACCCTTTGCTCCATCCGAGCTGGTGAACTTGGAGACTTCACACAGGCCATGCTGTTGCTCGCCTCACTTTTCCTCCTGGAGCGCCAGCTTGTTTTTCTGCTTTTCTGAGGAATTTGAATTTTTCAAAACCTTGCTTGAAGGCTGGGGATTTGGCTCAGTGGTTCCACCGCCTGCCTTGCAAGCGCAAGGACCTGAGTTCGACTCCCAGTACCACACACACACACACACACAAAACAAAAAACAAAAACCCTGCTTGAATTCCACAAACTTTATATCATCTTCCTGAACTATCTAAGCACCAGTGATTGCTTTTCCCTTGAACTCTTCTAATCTCCTCTAGCACTTTAATTAGTGTTTAACACGAGCCTCTTGGATGGCTTGCTGCTTTATGTATGAAACAGAGATAATATATTTATTTTTGGCATCATCAAATTTTATTAAAAATTTTTTTATTGAGTTTATTGGTACAGTTGAGGTATACAGTACAATTACATTCATCATTGAGATCTTGTGCGTTTAATTGCTGTACCTTGGTTCTTATATTTTTCCCCCATACCCCTGCCCTCCCTTCACCCCCTCACCCTTCCCTATTTTCAAAGACTTTGTTTCCACGTTTTTCCTTTTCTCATATTTTTTCTTTTCCCTTCTTTCCTTTCCCCTACCCCTCCTACTCCTTTAGAGGTTTTCTTCCTGTTTCACAATGTCAATTATACAATTTGATCCTCATTTACATTTTTAGCTTTGCACACCAGACAGAGATAATTTTTTTTTTTTTGGTACCGGGAATTGAACTTGGTCCTTGAACTTGCAAGGCAGGCCACTGAACCGCTGAGCTAAATCCCCGGTCCCTAGAGATAATATTTTTGCTGTGGCTTGTGTCTCAATGTCCCCCTACAAAGCCTCAAAATGCAGTCATTTTCTTTTTCTTTTCTTTTTTTCCTCATTGAGTTTATTGGTACATTTTAGGTATACAGTACAGTTATATTCATTATTGGGATCTTGTACCTTTACATGACAGGTCTTGGTTCTCATTTTTCCCCCTTACTCCTGCCCTCCCTTCACCCCCACCTTTTTTTTTGGTACTGGAGTCGAACTTAGGACCTTGTGCTTGCAAGACAGGCACGGTACCACTGAGTGAATCCCCGGCATCATGTAGTCATTTTTGAAGGTAGCTGAATCTGGAATGTGTGATGCTGTGGTTAAGGGTGTGTGCTTACTGAACCACTACACGCGAGGGACTTGTTTGGCCCCACCCTCATCCCTGTAGTCTGGATAGCATGGAAGGGGCTGAAATATGATGTTAAGGTCTCTTGTTGCTTTTTGCTGCTTCTGCTGCCACAAATTGATTGTTATGCCTCTGCCACCCTGCTTTGGAGCTGCTGATTATGACCTGAAATCTGTACAAACTGAAAGCCAAATAAACCTTTTGCTTTTAACGTTGGATGTTGGGTATTTTGTCTCAGCAGTAAGAAAAAAGTTACTAACACAATTTTCTTTTTTTGTTTTTTTCTTTTTTATTGAGGTTATTGGTACAATCTAGGTATACAAATACAGTTACATTCATCACTGGGATTCTGTACCTTTACATAATAGGTCTTGATTCTCATTTTTCCCCTTGTCCCTGCCCTCCCTTCACCCCCTTCCCCTCCCCATTTACAAACACTTTATTTCCATTTCTTCAGTTTCTCATATTTTTTTCCTCTCTCTTATTACCTTTCCTCCACCCTTCCCACTTTCCTTACACCTTTAGCCCTTTACTTCCTATTTCACATTATTAATTGTCTCATTAGGATCCTGTGTACTAGTATAGTTTTTCACACCAAAGAAACTATTCGGTATTTCAGTTAAAGAAATCTCTGTATGAACATTAAAAATAGGGAATCCTAAAATAAAACTAAAAAGGAAAGTAAAAGAGAAAAGGCAATGATGTAACATCAAAATAATCTTTAATTCTGGAGATGAAAATGGTCCCTGAACATATTTAAATTGCTTCTCGCTGTTATAGTCTTATCTTATTCTTTTTTCATTATTTAGAGAATACTTTATTAGTTTCTGTAATCAAACCCACATAGATATGACCTTACATATTTAGTACGATGTGTTACCCCTGTACACATGGAAAAAAAATAAAATAAAATAAATTAACATTTCTAGACCAATATGGTTGTCCATTTCTGTACAATGCCAAGTCAACACAGTAAATTGGAAGGACTTTTTCCAAAGTTGGCAGCACCGTTAAAGTTTCCCAAAATTCAATTTATATGTGTGTGTGTGTGTGTGTGTGTGTGAAACACAATTTTCAAATTATTCTTGTTGCATTTTTTTTCCACAACTTGTTAATAGTCTCTTTTCCTCTTTTAGGACTAGACTAATACTCTGAAATGAGGAAAGGAAGAGACTGTGACATAAGAAACTTACTTCCTGGAGGGAAGAGGAACTTCAGTGACCTGGTATTGCATGGAAGAGGTGAGAGAGAGGGAGAGAGGTGAAATTTCCGTGCGGATGACTTTCCTTCCTGTCTCTGGAATCAGTCACTGAAGATGGTGGTGGGTCAGTAGTCAGCATAATAGAAGCTTAAAGATGTAAAACATGACCTAATGCTCTGCTTCCCCTCTCACATGTCCAGAGATACTGTAAATCCCACAGGAAAGCCCAGAATTTGGGCTGGCATTTCTTTCCACAAGGTGTGCAGGTGGTAGACTAAGAATGGTTATGGGAAATGGATAAATGATAGATCTTAGTTTTCTATGGTGTGTTCTTTAGGTGACCCAGAAATCATGATGTCGCCCTTGGACACTGAGGTCCTTGATGATGAGGTTTTATTAGCTCAGAAGGCCAAAGGTTTTCTACAATGGGCTGAGGTAAAGAAATGCTTGGTAGAGGGTGGGGCAGGCCGCCTGCACTGGTGACCTCAAAGCAAGAGGACTAGTAGTTCCAATGAGAGCTGTGGTGGGACCAAACCAGGAAGCAGCTCATCAGACTTCAACTGTAATGAGAAAAAGATCCAGAATGAGTTGAAAGAAAGAATGGGCCTCACAGACACTGGGAAAAGGTGAGATAAGGAAAAAGACTGCTGAGGAAATTCTCACATAGAAGCTTTCCTAAAGCTTCAAGTGCAGTCAATATAAAATTACGTCTAATGGTTTAGTTTTAGCTATCACTGATTTTTAAGTGCTTCAAGTGCAGTCAATATAAAATTACGTCTAATGGTTTAGTTTTAGCTATCACTGATTTTTATTCTTTCTTCAGTTTGTGTAGTTTTCCACTTCTATGTTAAGCTTCTAGATATTTCTGCAATTCATCTAGGATATTTCTACTTGACAGACTTCATCTATCTGAATAATTTGTGCCTTACTGTAGAGTTGAAGAAGTGATAAAGAATACTATTAAGGCTCAGAGCAGAATTCCCTGAAGTATTAAGCTATGAGAAACTGAAAAAAAACCCTGAGGGTCAGAAAGGTCATTCTTGAGCTTTCCTCCTCTTTATCCCTGAAGATCCCCATGTGACAGGTGTTTTGTCTTATACTCAGGCAAAAGAAGTGTCACACCAGGATTCTAGGGGAAAAAATGGACTTGATACATTAGATCATAACCTTGACTGTCCATAAAAATACACTGTTTTCCCCTGAGTCTTTGACTCCCATATTATGTAAAACTTTCTTTAAGTAATTTATTATGCTTTTCTTTCATTGTTGTGAATCTTTGTTATGGAATGTCAACCACGAGTCTATGATGGGCAGAAGATAGTACCTTTTCTCCCCTGTAGCACAACACTTGAAAATCCCAGTTGTTAGTGGAGCGGTCAGGACACAGGGAGAAGGAAAATGAGATTCTTCAGATGGGATCTTTTTAGCATAACAAAGCTATATGGTTATGCTCTTAGTATTGTGTAAGTGCTCTGCTCTGAAGATAGGGAAGCTCCAGGGTCAGGATCCTGAGTGGTTTTGCCAGGTGACTTCACTGGTAGTGAAGTGGTGTGATGCTTATCCTCATAAACACGGGGCAGCGTAGGATGAAGCTGGAGACTTGGAGAAAGAGGGAGGAAAGGGAGAAAGCATGGAAGCTGCAGAGATAATCTTCATGACACCTGTGGGAGGCAGGTTCGAATTTATTTTTTCTGGTATGACTTGATTTTTTCTTTGATTTTCATCCTTAGTTTAGTTCTCTTTTAATTTCCACTATATCACTCCTTTTTTGGGGGGGTCCATATCATATATGGTCTCAATGTTTTTTTGTTTTTTGTTTTTTTTGGTACCGGGGATCGAACTCAGGACATTGTGCTTGCAAGGCAGGTGACGGAACCACTGATCCCCAGCCCTGGTCTCTATTTTTGTAAAGGTATTTTCCATACTCCCAAATACTTATTTGAGAATATTTAATTCTGTTTGCAGTTTTGTGATAAAAGTTTTTCCATTTTTGTGATGGGTTTTTTTGAGAGAATTTTCATCAGCAATAGTGCTTTCTTGTATTTTTCTTGTATTTTTGTGTTTTAAGGCACAGTAGTTTTGAGTGGCTGTGGTTTGCTTTCTGTATGCTCCAATTCATTTCATGGATGGAGTCTTAATTTGAGGGCACCCTTTCATGTCAGTTCTGTCCTCTCCCTTGCGGTTTATTTGTGACAAGTGGTGTTACTGGTGGTAGTCTCACGGGGAGGGTTTGGCATTTGTAGGGAGGATAGTCTTCCCGGCCTAGCCAAAGTAACCCCATCTTGTAGTGGGCCGCTTTTAGCTGTCTTGAGGGGCCCTACCAGGTGCTGAGACGGTGTGCCGGAGTGCAGCACAACAAGGCCACACCACCACTGCTGGACTCTGGTAGTGAGACTGGCAGAATTCCCTGTAAGGGTGGAATGGGAAAAGAGGATAGACAACTTTTCCCAAGAACTCTTGTCTTTTTTTCTGCTTTTTTGTTGTTTACTTTAGCTTAAGCTACCTATAAAACCAGTATTTTTTTTTTTTTGTTTGTTTGTTTTGGAGACAGGGTCTCATTATGTAGTTGAGACTGACCAGGAACTCACCATGTAGCCCAGGCTGGTCTTGAACTCACAGTGATCCTCCTGCCTCAGCCTCCCGAGTGCTGGGATTACAGGCGTGCGCCATCATGCCCGGCCTACAACCAGTATTTTAGCAAAGGGTGCCTGGCAGCTTTAGTAGAGCTGCAGCCTGCAAGCCGTCAACTACTCTAAGTAACCCCTAATAAACTCACATACTGGCCAAGCTGGACTTATCAGAGTCATTCTTTGGACCATTAGCCACCTGTTATTTCCGAGACAGACATTTCTTTCATGTCTCCAGGAAATTTATGGAACAGTATGTCTTACTCTTCTTTTGTTTCTGCAGGATTCTGAATTTTTTCCCCTTTTATTTTCTTTTTATTTCTCACCGCCTTGTCTCCATCTGGTACTACCCTTTTCTTCCTATCTGGTATCTCCCCTAAAGCACTTCTTCCTGGGGCTGCCCTCTGCTGTCACACTTTCATACCCCTTCCATGTAAAAAGTGATGTGAACGTTGAAGTCAAGCAGGCCTATACTCAGTATTTTGGCATTTGATTTTGGACCTGAACCTTCCAGAGGTGCTTGTGTCTTGTCTAAGTTCTCTGCTCTTCTCTATTCTTTTCCTGAAATCTCCTAAACTTCTTCCCCGTCACTGGTTTGCAATTGCAGGCAAGTAGTGGCAGCTGCAGAATTTTTCCCTTCTAGTCGCTTTCTGTATATTCCAACTCATTTGATGGATGGAGTCTTAGCAGATAACTTGAAGGTCATCATGTTCTATTTTCTAGAACTGCTGAAGATCCAAATCAGATGAGGCTTTGTTTTCTTTGTTGATTTTGTTTTTCTGCAAGTTGAGTGGAGGTGGGGGAGAAGATGGGAAAGATTCAAAATCATGCAGCCACCATCACTCTGGAGCCTGGAAGATCCTGGGAAAGGACTGCTCTGACTGAAGCTAACGGAAGGACAGTGATTTGTACCTATCCACCCTTACCCTGATATTAGCTCTGAGTATATGTCTAGTTGCCTTTCAGTTCATTTTGGGGGTGGATAGAGTTTTGTTGTGTCAGGCTTGTATCTTCAAGTGCTGCAAACGTCCTCTGCTGTGTTTATACCAAGCAAATAGTTTTCTCACTTTTCATTTACTTTTCTCTGTTTTCCTTTATGTATATCCTTTTCGGGCTCTCTTCTGATCCTTCCTGACTTCTCTCCTCAAATGATGCAGTTGTCAAAAGAAGGCCATGCTGTCCTGAATAATGTAATTGCCCAAAGTACTTTTGTTTTTTTGTTTTTTTGGTACCGGGGATTGAACTCGGGTCCTTGCGCTTGCAAGGCAGGCCACCGAACCACTGAGCTAAATCCCCAGACCTGCCCAAAGTACTTTTGTTGCAGAAGGAATTGGCAAGTGGCACATACATAGAGACTAGTTGAATGGAAGTAAAATAATAAAAAAGTTTATTTTGTTTCAAAGGGTTGATCATATTCAAAAGGCAGTGCCAGTGATTGACCTCCTATTAGGTTGCAGCTTCCTCTTTTATAGGTTTTACAGCTATGATCTCATTTAGGTGATTATATTTCATTTCTTCAGTTCATGTTACCATGTACAAATTACAGTAACAAGACAGTCACTTTAACCCAGACGTATCAATTCCTTGTAGTTAGGGAGTTTACCTTAAGATTTGTCTATTCTAGTGCACAGGAAGGTGGTGTTCAAGGTTAGGGATGAGGGCACATGTCCCACTTCATGGTCAGTACCTCCGGTGTCTGTTACTTTTGAACTAAACAAAGCAGATTGCTGTTAGAGACAGCAGAAGTCATTGTACATTTTCCTAACATTTTGTAGGTTTTAGATTATTTACAAAAGTTCTCTGTAGCACTTTCTTTCAGTGACCTGGTGTCAACTCTGAGGCTTGTTGACCTGACATCCTGACAGAAGACTGATGGCTGGGGCTTCTTAACTAATGAGTTGCAACTCTGATGCAAGGGCTTAATCTCATGGATCTAGTGTGTATTTAATACAGATTTATTTGTTTGTCTGACCTGGGAATGAGTTCTGGCCATTTCTCTATATTTCTAAGGCCAAGACAAGAGAAAGTAAAAAATAATAACTTAGAAATACCAACTTCCAGCCACTGCAGGCATAAAGGATGATTCACAGCATTGTTATTTACATTTCAATACAACCATTGCTGTAAGATACACAGCACGATTAAGCCTGCAGGGACACATCCAGCCAGCACATCCTTTGAATCAGGAAAATCAAATCAATATACGGTGAGGTTCTGTATTAACATCAATTTAGGAGGCATTTATGCTGAGTTAAAAAAATCTAATTAGTGGTTTCCTGTTAGGGAACAGTGACTGTTTATTCCATTTCCTGTTCACCTGGGTCTCTAATCAGTTCTCCTGCGTGATTTCTGTTCAGATAATAACACTCTGCCTTTCATCCCCAGCCTTTCTATACAAGGGCCAGGAACTAAA